CCTCTTTGGTGGAAGGGAGAAAGTAGCACAGGGTAGACATAGGATAAGAGGGGATATCAATGTGGGTCTTACTCGAGATATATGGGAACATACTTATCGTTTCCATTAGGTACTGATCCTCGGTGATCCGGTAAGCAATAGAGCATGAACGATTAGGTGACTTCATCCTCATGTTTAGGGGCTTGCCAAGTCACAGTGCCTTAAATTCGTCAATAAGCTTTTCCAGCGCTCAGTGTGAGTTGCAGCAGTTCCTCTCTAGATCCCAGTTACATTTAGCCATCGTCTGCAGGTACACCACGGGTAAGGGAGCTAGTGCCGTTGGTTTGACGGCATCAGTTCGTAAAGACTATCAAACTGGAGAGTACACGCTTGAGGGTGGAGCTTTGGTATGATATCAGCGGCGATACCCTACTCGTAAGGATGTTGTCGCCACTGGGTGGCAGGTATTGGCTGATAGTGGTATTTGCCTGATCGATGAGTTTGATAAGATGAATGATGCTGATCGTACCTCCATCCATGAGGCTATGGAGCAGCAGAGTATATCTATATCTAAAGCGGGTATTGTGGCATCCCTCTCAGCCAAGTGCTCAGTCGTAGCAGCTGCCAACCCTGTCGGAGGTCAGTCGGACTGTTGACCTCCTCCTATGCACATGTCATCTCGGCAGGCCGATACAACCCTAGTCTTACCTTCACTGACAATGTAGATCTCACGGACCCCATCTTATCCCGTTTCGATGCTCTATGTGTGATACGAGATGAGATTGATATATTCCAAGATGAGCGTCTGGCCGACTTTGTCGTGTGTACCCATATGCAAAACCATCCCCGTGAGCCTAGCGACAACGTGAGGCCTCGGAACCAGGAGACGGAAGCACTATACGAACCCATCGATCAAGACCTCCTCAGGAAGTATATTCTCTATGCAAGGTAGGGACATTCTTCATGTTGTCATCTATTAGTGCTGAGCTGCTGATGCTGCTGCCCTCTAGGACGAGTGTATTCCCCAAGATATCGGATGTGGATGCAGACAAGTTGGCCAACTTCTACAAGGAAATCAGATCAGCTGCCTCTGATAGTCACGGGCTTCCCATGACGGTAGATACAATCCCTGCCATGGATGGATGACGACGATGGCTATGCATCCCCTTGCCAGGTCAGACATATAGAGTCGATGATTCGTATGGCTGAGGCAAGTGCTAAGATGGAGCTTAGAGACTACGTCACAGTAGACATTGATCATGCTATAGCCACTATGCTGGTAGTGCACCA